TCATCATCATCATCATCTCTCGGGGTGCCGGCCATGGTGAGGGGCTCGGCCCCTGCCGTGGCCCTGAGCTCTGTCATGGTCTTGTGTCCAGGCTACCGGTCGGTGCCGTTGAAGAACAGCTACACCGAGGACCTGGAACTCGCCTCCCTCCTCATCCACATCGAGATCATCAACGCCAAGGCAGGTGGCCCCGTCGCCTCCGTTTCCCCGACCCCAACGAGGAGGGTCGTCTCCTCGGGGGTGGCTGTGCCCTGCCCGTCCCCCCACGCTCACCCCTTTGTTTTGGGGCAGGAGGAAGACGAGGAGAACCTCTACTCGTCCATCCAGCAGCTGCGGGACCGCGCCAGCGAGCTCTCCAGCCAGGTCTCCAGCTACGAGCGCACCAACGGCTGCGACTCCCGCTACCAGCAGCGCCTGGACGAGCTCCGGGCGGCCCAGGAGCGGCTCATGGAGCTCACCGAGGTCCGCAACCGCAAGTGAGTGTGGCCCCTGCCCGCGCCTTTGGGTGCTCCCTCTTGGGATTGGAACACAGGTCTTATGGGGAGAGAGGCTGAGGGAGCTGGGGGGGGGCTCAACCTGGAGAGGAGAAGGCTCAGGGGAGACCTCATCACTCTACAACTCCCTGACAGGAGAGGGGAGCTGGGGGAGGGTTGATCTCTTCTCCCAGGAACCAGCAGTAGGACACGAGGGCTCGGTCTCCAGCTGTGCCAGGGGAGGTTTAGGTTGGATATTGGGAAGAAATTCTTTCCATAGAGGGTAATCAGCCATTGGAATGGGCTGCCCAGGGAGGGGGTGGATTCTCCATCCCTGGAGGTTTTTAAGAGGAGACTGGATGTGGCCTCAGTGCCATGGGCTGGGAACCACGGTGGGGTTGGATCAAGGGTTGGACTTGATGATCTCAGAGGTGCTTTCCAACCCGGCTGATTCTGTGATTCTGTGATTCCACGGTTCTAAAGCCACCCCTCTGCTCCCCACCAGGTTGATGGAGAAGAAGAAGAGGGACCGGCAGATGGTCACCAAGCGCAGCTGAGCGGGAGGGACGCGAGCGCGGGAGCTCCCCGGCCACCTCCTCTCCGGCCACACGGGGAGGTGGGGTGGCCACAGCTGGTCCCCTGCCCGTGGCCGGGACTGGGTGACCTCCAGCTTTCATCCCACGTCCCCTGGGGCTCGTGGCCACCCCCCTGTCCCCACGGGGTGGCCACCGTGGCTCCTTTTTCCCCCTCATGAGGAAACTGAGGCACGGGGCCCAGCCAGGCCGGGATGGGGCAGGAATGGCCACCTCCATCCTGGGGACGGGTGACAGGATGGGCTGGCAGTGAAACCCCAGGGTGGGGACACAGGGGACACTCTGGGGGGGGAGGTCAGGGGGGCGTTTTGTCCCCCCTCTATAAATATCTGTATTTTCTTCTTTTATCCAGCCTGTACATACAGCGGGGGGGGAGGGGAGTCTGGACCAGCCACAGTATTAGGGCACAAGGGGGGG